TACAGTGGGGTGATGATAGTTTGAAGTCAGAAGTCAACTGCCGGTTTATAGACTTTTTTGCCGTATGACCAAAAATTGCCCAGGTTCCACCATGTGGAGGTAAGTCTACGAAACAACTTGGAAATGTTACTAATAATATCGGAAATAATGCTTTATAGAATCATTTACATAATTTGATAACAAATGGCATTTTAATTTTGTTTAGAATTTAACATTTTCTGCATCAATGGCAAGATCATTAAGGTCATTAACTGTTCGTTCTTTGGGACGGGTGGTTTCAATACTGTATGCCTGAGAGATACCGAAAACCTAGCTCGCAATTATTAACTGACAGCAATTCCACCGAAATGATAAGGCCGATGAACTGCCACTTTTTAAGTAATTTTTGAGAAATATTTATTTATTTCAAATAGCAGACATTTTGATAGTTATCATTAGCCCTTTAGTTGACTTCGGGCTTCACAGATAATAATTCGACAGGGGGGAAAGAAGAGCGATTCACAGATGTAACAGACAGACACAAAGTAGAAGAAAAAAGGCTAGATGAGTACTGTGGAAGGGGTCGAATATGACATACAATGTGGTGAGGGTAGTTTGAAGTCAGAGGTCAACTGCCAGTTAATAGACTTTTTGCCGTATGAGTATACGTTGCCCAGGGTGCACCACGTGGAGGTAAGTCTATCGCACGCCCCAGTATGTGAGAAATAAGCATTTATTCGCTCTAACAACTCACCACCTAGATCAAGTGGCACTCAATTCCCTTCATCACTAAGCCCTTCAAGTATTGGAAGCCTCGAAGACCTTTATGGCGAAGAAAAGCTGTAAAGAAATCCATGCCTCCGAAATCGGGATTTCCTATTTTCATTTCACTGTCAATAGAGAAGAGGGCATTCGATACAGCCTTGTGCTATAATGGGATAGCTTGAAATGTCAGCGAGATTCATGAGAATTTTTGTGGCTAGATGCACAGTTTTTGTAGTGGTCAGGGGAAGAAATAACTTTTCAATAAACCTCGTTCATGTTAAAGCAGGGTTGTTTAGATACAATGAATCCTCCGTTTGCCTGTTTAATTTAAATGTGATTTATTTATTTAAAACAATTTATAATAAGAAAGGACTACTCATCGAATTAGTGACTATGTGCTGCTTTAAAAGTAGAATACGACATGTTCCTGAAATTGTCAGAACTCAACAGGCTAAATTGACTTTTTTATGTAAAAAATTTTCATAAGCAACTGATTACAGGTTAGTTTTTTTCCGTTAATGAACTGAATTCATTGTAACTCAATAAAACAGATAATAATGGAACAAAGAGGGCTTATTTAAATAAGAAAACTGCATTTTAGAAATTTCAGTTATGTTAGAAAAATCATTAAAATTGATTAGCACGCACTACTGATTTAAATTTAGTAGAATCTATATTTCCTATATGGGGGTGTGCGATAGATCTACCTCCGCGTGGTGCACCCTGGGCAACGTATATTCATACGGCAAAAAGGTCTATTATTCGGCAGTTGACGTCTGACTTCAAACTACCCGTCTATTATTCGGCAGTTGACGTCTGACTTCAAACTACCATGACCTGACTCCATGTAATATTCGATCATTTCCACAGTACTTACCTCACCTTTTCTACCTTTGTGTCTATCTCTTTTACATCTTTGAAATGCTCTTCTGTTCCTCCCTCCCCCCTCTCGACTTTTTTTTACTTTGATGTTCCACCCCCTCTGTGAAGCCTACAGTCAACCAAAAGGCTAATGATAACTATCAAAACGCCTGCCAGTTGATATAATAATAATAATATTTCCTATATGCTAGAAATATTTATTTATTTCATAATGCAGGCGTTTTGATAGGTATCATTAGCCCTTTAGTTGACTTCAGGCTTCTTTGATAGGTATCATTAGCCCTTTAGTTGACTTCGGGCTTCAGAGAAAGGAAGAGGAACACCAAAGTGGCAAAAAGTCGAGAGCAGAGAGGAGGATCAACAAAGTAATAAAAAGTCGACAGGAGGGACAGAATAACGATCAACAGATGTGAAAGAGTCAGACAGACACAAATGCAGAGAAAAGGTAAGATGAGTACTGCGGAAGGGGTCGGATATGGCATACAGTTGGGTCATGGTAGTTAGAAGTCAGAAGTCAACTGCCGGTTACCAGACTTTTGCAGTACGAGTATACGTTGCCCAGGGTTCACCACGTGTTGGTAAGTCTATCGCACACCTCATATCTACTGTTATAAATGACCATTTTCGCAATCATTCTTCTCAGTCATTATGTTCATCTCTTTTCAGCAAAATTGAGAAAAATAGCCACCTTCAATCGCAACAAGCTCTCAACACAAATGTCGAAAACAAACATACGTCTGGGAATGCCTACCAAGGCTTCCGGTGTAGTCTGAGGCAGTCCGAGAAAACCACATGGTAAATCAACAAGAGATCTGAGGACCTAAACGAGAAGGAAACAATGAAAACAGGGCTCCCTCTCAAAATGTCACATTAACACCGATCGTAAAACGTCTTTGCATATTGCAAAATCAGCGACACACGTGAAGACTAATGATAGTGCTAAAGTTCCAATTACAATACTATTGCTTTATTTTAAAAGTGCGACAATTTAACGAGATTGGAGACAGTCTACCATTTCCCCCAAGGTTTTGATAACATCTCTTGCCTTAAAACTTATCAGACATAAGGTAAAAAAAGACAAATAAAGTCGGTTTAAATACTCAAAAATCATATTTTTATCGCAGCCTCCGTAATTTCATTTTGACTACAACTATTACAAACTGTACAAAAGCGAACAGGGGAAGAACCTAGCAAACTGAATGTATACCTAGACTACTTGAATTTATCAAACATGGGATGACTGAAGTGATCACGGCAACGCTCATATAGTACCCTCAGAGCAGAATTTCGAATGATCTCTTCTTCCAAAAGTTCAGATTTGAATTGCCGAAACTGAAAGAGTAAGAAAAGAGGGTATAATGACATGTTAGAAAGAAATGTAGCAATGGAGTATTTCGAACCTGTAGTTGCTCTTTACGAATGAGTACGGGTAATGTCATTGAAGAAGAGTCCTCTTCATATTGCTTTTTGAGATCAATAATTCGAGCATTGGATACGTCGATACAACGACGAATTGCTTGGAATCGACGCTTATGTAGATCTACCAGCTAGCAGTAAAAATGATATGCTTATATCAGAATAATATGTTTAAATATGACCTAGCAAAGTAGTCTATAAAATCATATAATCATATCCATATTGAAAGAAAAGAAAAAAAATACATTAGAATGCAACAAACCTTATCAAAAAATCGTGAACATTGTTGAGTAGCGTCAACAGAATTTGAAAATGAGGCGGTAGGTAGTGCAGCATTTAGCTCATTATTGATTCTATCGTCAGATTTACGAGCCGTTTGAAGAGCTTTCTAAATTTAGGAACAGAGCAAGTATTAACAGAATGGAGATAAAAATTAGCAATATCATAACTTTGTGCAGTGTGTATGAAAGTATAAATAATAATTACACTGAATCTGAAGAAGTCATCACAGGGAAAATCATTTTCTGGAAAATCTACCATAGTCGACAGTCTTGAGAAGTCACGTTAAATGCTGAAACCAATGGAAGTTCAAATTCTTGGGAACTAGTGCGATCATATAAAATAATTTTAGATTATGCATGTGAATAGATCACTATTTAGATATGTACATCGGTTATTAATTATACAATCGTTAATATTGCAATTTAACTAAAGCACATATCAAAATAAAAATAGCATACATTACTCCCACTCATAGTTGACAATACAGTATATAGGTGGCAATAAATACAAATTGAGAAAAGTTCTCCGTGAAATTTACTGTTGATTTATTGAATACGAATTAACACTAAATAAGAATTTCAAGATTGGAAAAGTTGATAAGAATTTGTTGACGATATATTAAAGCTAGTAAAAATATCAAGTACAATTCATTCTAAACCGGAATGTATTTTGACGTTTTGGTACATCCACAGTTTCATTTATTCCATTAACTAACTAATAGGCGATTTTATTGTACACGGAATTCCGATAATTTAATGAAATAGAAAGCAATTTATTGACAAAATTTCCAACTTTAGATGTTGTTTATATTATGACAATATTTTCAAGATAAATATTTTATTTTATAATAAATCAAAAGATGAAAAACGGATGCTGCATCTTTAGATGCTATAAATTTTCGCTTATTCGTCAATAAAAATTCTTCAATTTTTCCGTTTGGTGCGTCAACAAATTAAATGTTTTGTGCTTGCCATTTTGTTTTTCGTATAGTACTGACACTTGTACATTCTTCCTAATAATTTTTAGATTTCATATTCCAGAGTTTATTTTTGCTTTGTAAATGTCCCAATAAATATTAAAGCAGTATGAAGTCATATGATCGCTCGTATTCTCGCGGTAATGTTCCATATGGCGGACATTTCATGGGAAATCCTAGATCTAATAATGCTAAAAAATTATCAGACAGGCTGTAAGTTTCCGTTTTTACTTATTACCTTTCGCTTAGCTTACCCCAGGGCAAAAATGATGCTAAACCATCCAATTTTTCTACGAAGGGAAATTACCAAGAGTAAGCCCTTTTTGGTTTATGTTTTAAAGTTTTCAATGGTCTTTATTTTACTAATTTAACATTTTTGTTTGTAGCCGCTTTGCACCTGGGCAACCCGTCCTACAATGCGCCGGTCACAGAGAAGCAATACCTATGGATCCCTCATTTCAGTATTCGGCCTACGCCGTCACTTTACAGAAACGTGTGTCACGAGAACATGATGTTGTCGTTTTGGCTGTCAATCCTGCGCTCAAAGCCTACGGTCAAGCGATTGCACACACGATAGAATTGTTCTCAGGAAGGAAGGGTCAGGATTTCCTCCAAGACTTTTTTGCAGAGCAACAAAGCCAAGGTGCTAAGCCGAGGCAGTTTCATTATCGCAGGCCAACAGTTTTTCAAGTTTGTCTTGGCGGTGAAAACTATGTTGAGCCATGTATTATGGATTTCAATGATAAAGGTTATCTGTACGCTATCATATGTAATGAAGCCAACAAACTACATAACTCTGTTACACTTCGAATACTTCATTCAGATCAAGGTGAGCTTTGCTAACACGATGTCTTTATATTTGTTTAATTTTTTACTTGAAATCTGTTTCGCATTCGGTAAACTCCAAGTCAAGTATTGTTTCATTGCGCCTAATAGTGTATCTAAATCTGGCCTTTTTTCGCCCAATCGGCCTAAGTATCTCCGATTTATATCGATAGCTAATTTTAATAAAACTATTTTTATATATAGTCTTTTGTATGCATTACCGTTGGACAACAATAAACTAGATTTGTCAGTGTTATTTTTGTTAGAGGTACTTTTTATTTATGTAACAGCTTCCGCTTATGCAATTTAGAATTATAAAAAAATCTACTATCATTCAACCTCTATGAAATTTGCGTCTGATATATATTTATGCACTTGTCGTTTATTATGCTACCCAGACTCTATTACTCAAATGACATGAAATTCTTGTTAGTCTTTTCGCTTCTAAGGCATAAATCATCTTTTTGTCCTTGAATAACTGATTTCGTAGAGTCTTAGTACGCTGCAGCAAGCACCTTCTCAGACGATCAACTTGCCGTAAATCGCCAAAGGATGCCCCTTTTTAATCGTCCACCCAGTTTCTATTACACTATCAATTAATTGTGTGTTAAATTTTCTCTATTATTCAAGTCAACGATAATCGTCTCACAGAGGTAAGGCATTCTTAAGTTACCCTTATGAGAAACTCTATCTCCTTTGTTGCTGAAACAACAACTACTGTCACCAGTCATCGTCAGATAATTGTAATGTTTGATTTACTGTTTCCACTCGATTTCTCTTGACAAGTTAAACCAATGTGGTATATCATTTTTAGCGTATCTAGGTTTGCTCTATTGTGCTTTTTCATCAATTTTCTCTCATCGTCCTTTTTGTAGAACATCGTAATATGTCAACGGTAGATTCACTGAATTTACTCTTCAGTGATTTTTACTCCTACATCCATGCAGAGTGTGACTATTTGGCTACTGGCCCACTACCCCCTTCTACTCCAATAGTTGATAACCATCCACCACCTCTTCCTTCCACGAAGGAAAACCAACAGGTCCCCCCTCCTCATCAGATACTTCCTGCTCCTCAACAGCTTCCAGAGGTAAATAAATCTCAGCTCGAACCAAATTCATCCAAACTCCCATCCCAGTGCCGACTCTCACCGCCCTCTTTAACAAGGCGTCATGAAAGTGGTCAGAATTCTATTGGGTCACACTCACGAAAGCGCCATCGCTCTTCCCGTTCGTCATCACATTCTTCGTCCAGGTCTGGAGCAAGAGGTTACTCACATCACTTTGGGCCCCCAAAATCATCCCACCACGGTTCCCCATCCTCTCTTCGTGGTCCACATCAGAGACAGCCTAAAGATGATGTAGAGATTCCTGTACCTGATGATCCAAACTTTTTAGTCCCGAGTAAACGTATGTCAGCGCTGTTGAAAATGTTGGCGGATTCAAGAATCCTCTCGGCTGCAGAATTAGATGAGATTGCAAAATTTGTGGCAGAGAGAAAGGCCAGATTGAATAGCACTGTGGAGGAACACATGCCAGTTGGTAAGTCGTTCTTCTTGTCCTGTGTGGTTTAGTGGGACAAGTCAAACCATATCAAGATTTAAATTATTGGTACATCCTTTTCTTGCCACTCAACCTAAGCAATCGGTGTCTTCGAACTTTTAATGAGAAATTTAATTTTCCAATAAAGAATAAGGGATTCTTTAATATAATACGAGTTTCAAGTGTAGATCACTAGCATATTGTAAAAGTGCATGATATGTTTTAACATAGATATTTGTCTTTGGTCCCTGCAATATCTATTTCTCAAGTGTATGAATTTTACGACCGAATAAATTGCTTCAATTTGGATTGGATTTGAAATCGGTGAATCTCCGACAATTTAATTGACGCTGAAAGCCCCTCCCCATCTTCAATTCGTAACTTAAAACTCAACTTCCATTCAATAGCTTGAATTTAATTTTGCTCTTCTCTTCTTTCCTATTTCTTTTCCAGATCGATAAATGGCATAGTATGAGCTTGAAATTCATTCATTGAATAAGCCAGTGTACGACTCACATTTTCATTACTTCGAGTGTTGTCTGTCATATTCGGTCGGAAGAGTTTCTATTGGTGGTTTATATCTTTTAGATGGGATGAAGTCTTTTTGAAAGTGGTCGTTGTTCTATCATTTCCTTCTCTAGTGTTTTAGTGATCGAATGTTCATTGTCTACTGGTCATATTCAATATTCAAATTACCTTTGATCACTTTTGTATATCTGGAAAAGCTTTTTTATATGTAACTCTCGAAACGGACCTGAACTTGGTGTCACCGGTATTCTATCCGTGCTGGAACCTTGGTTTTTGTACTTTCTTCATTACATAATGCATTCTCCATTTTTCGGTATTTAGATGGACAAAAAATTGCAAATATGTCCTTTATACTCCTTTTGAATTTGGGATTTAAATGAGGGGAATCGAGTGTGAAGAATTAGAAGTGCTTTGGAAGCTTAAATAGTCACTCTGATGAGTGACGACTCCTTCCCCAACGCCATTTAATGGAAGTGATTTCCACTGTACACCCTCCGGTGTAATGAAAATCCTATCTTCTTGTGTAAGCTGAGTTGTTCGTTATATCACCTATCGGCACTGAATCAATGACTGCCATGGTTCTAGAGACCCGAACCACGAATACATGGTGAGATTTAGTAAATGAACTGTGAATAGATATGAAGGCCTACAAATCACTCTGGCACCTTCACATTCATTGTTGACTAATAGCCTGCAACTTGAACACCATCTCCGTTTGTAAAACTCTCATCGATTTGGAGGAGACAGTAGCAGATGAAAAGAATTTCAATTTATTGATTAACTCGACTATGCTTTATTTCGTCTTTTCAATACCAGTTGCCAAAACTTGGATTCGATCAGTCACTAGACGTATGCTAATCTAATGGTCGGTAATGTGAACTTTCCTCAAACGTACTTAACGAGGGAAAATATATGGATTCAAGGAGGAGAATATCAATTCCTATCCTGATATAGGTCAGCAACCATGTAGTCATTAAATTTCTCAACTGACTATTTCGTTGGGGAGAACATCTTGGCAATTTCTCTTTATTCTTCTTCAAACCGACGCTGACCCCTCAATGAATCCAAGCCATTTTTTATTTGAACTCATCGTTTAATGCCTCCCGTTATCTTGAATACTACGTCAGTCCTTCTCTAAGTGAATTATCTCACTTCTGAGATTTTTTGAACTTTCTGCTTTCTCCAACTCTCATTTTGTTTTAGAGTTCCATTGGGGTAAGCAGTTGGTCTGTTATTCATTTAAAGGGCCATATCGCAACTGATAACTGGAGTTGAACGAGTGGAGTTCGAATCAATCGCTTGCCCTGTACTTTTCCCTTAGTCTTCTCATTGGTGCATTTATCCGTCTGCAATATTCTCCATTAAAAATTTGTTACGCATTGGAAACTACTTTAACAAGACTCCTGAGGGAATACATCTTTACTAGATACTAATCTGTGGTGTTTGTGAAAGTTATAACTATTTTGATGCACAGTCAAGAAAGTTTATCATTCGGCCTAAAGGCCCCAATTTCACAGAATTCGCCAGTCCTCTGCTGTTGGTCTTATCTAAATCTTCTTTCAGGAGTTTTGTCGGTGCTTGTCACGATACTTTCTGAGAGGCTACGGTAATCCTGACTGAGGTCACAAAAGGGAGTAAGTCAGGTTACCCATTTCATGGGGGATCTCAAAGTCAACTCATTTATAATCATCACGTTTCTTCGATCTGTATTGATCATCGCCAATAGTCGCTTTCCTCGTAGTGATTGGCATCTGCGTGTTATTTTCTGTGTAAACCTAGATCGTCCCTGTGGAATGCTATTGTCGATGTCTTGTCGTTCCTGATTTCAACAAAACGGACATGCCACCGTTAACTATTTTTGACTGGTTTATCAGCCAATTGAATGTGCACGTGTTGGATCTGACGGATTAAATTCATTCGAGACCATTTTGCAACGGACTCTCTTCAAAAGTGGCACTCTGCGCTCTTATATTTCAACCTACCTCGTCAGTTGCGTTAATTGAACTGACTCTTGCCATCTGTTTCAGCTATCGTCAGTTGTGGCCTTATTTCTAATGCTCCGTCTATGTCGGGTAGTAAGGCAAAGTTTGGTGTTTAGCAATTGCAGATTTGACTGATGGCAGGAAGTTTAGTACTCAATCTTCATTTACAAAGTGTGTGGAAATCATCTGTAATGCAACCAAAGCACCTACAATGTTACCGTTAATAACGAATCAGCAGCTTCCCGGTTGGGTAACAATCTATACCCCAAGCTAGTTCAAAGAAACAGAAAAAGCATTTCCTTTTATGTTCGCGATTTTTTATCTTAAATCCTAAGTAGTAATGATCTTATCGTAGGTTGTGTGATCTCTGTATTTGTTAAGTGACCACTGGCGTTTTTGTCGTTAACGGTGTATTTCTAACACCCTTCCTTTCATACAGGCAATATTTCAAATGACGTTTTGAAGGCTCGTATTCTTGAAACAATCTATAACCAAACTCCCACCCCCGTTTCAAAACCCGGAGAAGGTTTTCCACAAAGTCAGCTACAGTTGCAGCAGCAATCAAGCCAACTGCAGTTGCCATTTCAAACACAGCAACTCGGCTTCTCTTCAAGCAATAGAGCTCTTCTTGAGTCGTCTCATTCTCCTCCACTACCCTCTCTGTCTAACATTGGTCCATTACACTCGTTTGTCTTTTCCGGTCCTACTCCCATACTCCCCTCTTTTACCTCAAATGCCACCACCTCTAATCTCACTTCTATCCCTACACGTGGCCCTTCACAGCCCCCTTCATTACTATCACGACAAAAATCACTACCAATGTCTCGTGGGAGTAACAATAATAATAATCCTAATAATAGTAGGTATGGCGGCGATAGGAATAATAATAGTAATATTGCTACTAGGAGAATTCGGTGAGGCTTTGTCTCTGTGTATGCTCTCTAAAGAAGAACCGAGTTTGTGTGTTACTCTAATGCGAAAATTTGCAAATAAAGAATTCGGCTCTCTCGTGTTGCAAGTACGCGTTGTTATTTATGCAAGTGGTAGTGTGT